AATTTCAAGTTCATAGACTGGAGAAGCTAATGTAGCCAGGATATGCTTAGACGTCATTGAAGTACAAATCAACAGGTTCGGGACGCCTCTCCTTAAAGTTGCCCTAGTTCCCTTCAGCCTTGAAAGCGGAAGTTAGGGTTAGAGGCAATTGTGTCTTTTTTCATGTTTGGTTTATGAAACTTTTGTAAAAAGTATGTTCAAAGAACATGAACTATGAAACCTGTTGGGTGACAAGTGCATAACATTTCAAGGAAGGTTAAACAGCAAATCTCATAATTACAACGACAACATTTATATCACCAGATATTAGTATTTGGAGAAAGGAAATTTATTTATAATTACTTAATCGCTCTGTGGTTTACCTAGTGCTTCTGTACAGTAGACAGGAACTGTTTGAGAGTTTCGGATGAATTGATATGATAAATGATAAACGCAGAACTTCATCCAGGATAATTTCGCTAAGTATCCATTTTTAATTTCCATGTCCTATCTTTCAGGTCAGTGATTATCATTTGATAGCTTCAGCTGTATCACAGGACACGTTAACGGCTTGCGTTAATGGCTTGCAGTCTAATGAGACCGTACCTCGTTCGAGGCAATGGAGTGCATGAACACTCCTGGAAGATAATCCTAGATACGTCAAAAAGGGCGTAGTATTGATTAATTTTATTCAATCCATTTTTTGAAAATTAATCTAAAACGTACCCATGTCATCTACCATGAGTATGACTATATTTGGATGTGAAGGTGATGGCGGTTGAACGCACGTCTGTGCTGACGTCCACAAAGTCCACAGTAAAACTGGTAACATTCTAAAAATGGCTTCGTTGACGCAAGGTATTCTTGTGCGAGATAAAGTAAAAGCGAGGAAACAAAGACGTCGAAATAGCTATGCTGAGCATNAAATAGATTTCAAATCACACTTGTTAAAGAGATTAGACTAAAGAAGATCAGAGAGACTACGCTTCAGAGCATAAACTCTGAAACGATTTTTTTCATTGCCTCTGAAAAATTCTTGAACCAGTGAAATCAAGTGACTCCTAGGAATGATACTGAATCGTTGTTCCATTTTAGCTCCACCGGGAAACTGGCCGATCGTATCCAACTGGAAGACTCGGGAGAGATAAATTCGATGGGGAAACGACCCAGCTGAGAGATGCCGTTGCTCAAGACTGAGCTCCTGCCACCTAGGTGTTTTCGACGAATTAGCATTCTTGACGTTCTGGAACAAGCAGTCTACATGACGACTGTATGTAGTTAAGGCGGAGCCCTCGACGGTTGCGCCACACCCCCTCTGCTATCTTACAGTAGTCCTAATCAATCGCTGAAATTTGAAGCATTAAATAAGGCGGTGTTCATCGTACCCAATGAGCAGGCCACTACTATCACAAACAGCAAAGCTCCACGCGCTTGGAAAGGCGTCATTACATTGGGAAATGGTTAAGTGCAAGCATCCGGTTCGGTTAGGAGAGCCACATCATCTCAGATCTTGAGGAAAAGGACAATGGGTGAAATTAGCGAAAGGATGATTCATGTGAGCAATAATCTTGCTTCTTTTATCTGCGGTTCAAACGATATCAGCCGGCTAAATGTTGAAATGCGCAACTAAACGATGGAGAATAATAATTCCCAACCTCAAAACTGCGCNGTCTATTTTTTAAGTGATCGGTTGCTCGGCCTTAAAGGTGGGAGTGAGTGAACTCTCTGTTAAATCACTGGGTCATATAGAACAAAAATCAACCGCGACTAGAAGGTGAACGAGCTCACTTAAAAACTGTCTACTGGGGGCCCTTGGAGATTCTTGACGCCATGTCGTGAATGCAATTGTGAATTCATTTAGATCAACGTCAAACTTCGCGGAGTGACAAGTCGAAGCGGATGCTATATAAATCCACCAATCAAAATAAATGAAGCGCTGTATTGATTACCCAAAGAGTCTGTCTTCCTATCAGAACTCTACTGTTGAAGCGCCACGAGTTTGTTCTGCCCCCTCCCCAGTGTCCCTCCCCTTTGTGCCGGAACTGTATTCAAAAGGTGTCAGAACTCTGGCCCAATATTCATTCCAAATATTCAGGATAATGTTAGTAATGCACAGCCGGAGATCTGAGAGCAGCGCCTGTTATTGTACGGGCGTGTAGTGGGAAGGCCATCGGACCATACAATAAGAACGGCGCTGGTGTTCGAGCTGAAGGGTAAGAGGTGGCGGAACGAGATCAAGGAAGAGCTTCTCGAAGCGAACCACAAGGCAGGAGAGGCCACAGATAAAAATAAAGTGTAGAAGTCTAATGAGAACAGTTGACCCTGCGACTTCCAGAAATTCGGGCTGAGGTCACATCTACAGTATCCTTCAATTAACATTCACTACAGTGTCTAACG